GGACCTGAAAAAAGGAAAAAATAACATTAGTACCGGGCGGTGCGAATCACAAAGGCACTCTCCTCAGGGAACAGACCGCCCGGGCCCACAAGATGAACACTAGAGAAGGCCAGTCCAAGGATCACGGGCGGTACCTATCCCAGCGTTGGAGAGTGCCTCAATGGTCAGAAGCCCTTTTAATCTCCTAACGCCGCCCAGCCTCAGCTTGTCCACGGCTTCCTGCAGTACTGGGGTCAGTTCCGGCGTCTGGACCTTCGGAGGGTATCTGTTCCACCGTACAGGGAGCCGATCGTTCGCATAACGGATAAAGAAATAACGGTTCTTCCAGTCATGGATAGAAGAGGGAGCCCCCTCGAACAATTTTCTTTTAGGACGAGCGGCCACGCTCAGGAACCCATCAGCATTCTGGGGGGTAACTTGGAAAAAGTAGTGGAACAGCTCCAGGGAGAAGGCGAGCCCCAGTGATTTACAAAGGACAAGGAACGCCGAGATCTGGCGGTAGGAATTCGGCATGAATTGAGTCGGGACCACGCCATAGAACTCGAAAAAATCCAGGTAGAACGGGTGTAACGGGAACTGCAGTCCGGCATTCAGGGAGTCCATGTGTACCATCACCATCCCCGGACGTCTCATAAAGAGGTTATCCGCGCCCCGGAGGCTATAATAGGCAGGCGAGGGGAGGAGAACTTGCAGCTCCCTCAAGGCCCTTTTTGAAAAACTTGCTCGATCGCAGCTACGTTCGGAATAAGCACAATGTGCCTGTGATCATCCATGGGGATGCCCCGCTTATAGATTCGGAGGTCATCCCCTTCTTTAGCCTCCTCACCCGAGTCGTAATCGTCTGGATGCCCCGCCGCCACGGCAGGTTGCGCCGCCATCGCAACGGCGTTTTCAGGATCAACGGCCATGTCAACATGTTCCCCAAGGCCCGGGATGGCAGCGTCGGTCACTACGTCAGCGACTGCCATTGAAGAGGCGCTGGAATGGCCAGATCCACTCGCCTCAGCCGAAGAACGGGACCTGGATTCTGATGTCGAAGATGAGCCGGTAGAAGAGCCGGAGCTAGTCTTAGAGGAGGAAGAAATCTCCATGGAGCAGACCATGGGAAAATACAAGAAGGAAGAAGAAGATTGGAGTCAGGGAATTACCTTACTAAAAGCTGGGAAAGGGAACAGACACCGGGACCAAAGCACTCGCTGATCGGCGCAAGAGGAGGCAAGAGGAGATAGCAGATGAAAAGCCCTAACCTTTCCCTGACTTCCGGTATTTATAGGGGAAGGCACCGACTCAACAACCAACCCACGGGCGACACGTGGCAAGGAGCGTATACAGGGACGCGTGTCGCATAAAGACGGGCTGAAACGAAGTGATTACCTTTTTATGGGAAGTTGAACCGGCCTGATATCTGGCACCTAGAGCCCCGCAAACAACGGCGGAAAGCAACCGTCACCTAGGGAAAGGGAGCAACGGCTCAGGGCGGTACAACGAAAAGTAACCGTCACCCAGAGAAAAGGAGCAACAGATCATAACGGTACGGCGGAAGTTATTTTTACTTCTTCATGTCCCGCGCAAGCTCGTAACATCAGAAGTGGGGGACTTGTGTTGGGTTAATGGCCTTCCAGGACCGGCCCATCAACCCCTGAAGCCCAAGGGCCAAGGGACGTACGTGGCCCACCAAAGCCAGGCCTCAAGGTCCAAGGGCCAGGGGACGTACGTATCCCAGCATGGCCAGGCTCCAGGGTCTAAGAGCCAGGGGACACACGTAGCCCAACATAGCCAGGCCTCAAGGTCCAAGAGCCAGGGGACGCACGTAGCCCAACATAGCCAGGCCTCAGGGTCCAAGAGCCAGGGGACGTACGTAGCCCAGCATAGCCAGGCCTCGAGGCCCAAGGGCCCTGGGATGGACGTCTGGTGGGCTATACTTAAAGGCCCAGGTTTCCATCTAAGAATTGAGTTCAGTTTAGGGGACGGACGTCCTCCGCATTATGGCGGGAAACCAAGATCTTGGCGGGAAGCGCATTTAATGCTGAAGATTTGGTGATTGGAATCATGTCGCCCACAGCCGGCCACGTCAGCCCCCCAACCACCAGGGTGTACTATAAATAGCCACATTTATTTCATTGTAAGGGGTTCGCACATCGTTACTTTAGAATTGTAATAGCGTCAGCAGTACGTAGCTTATTTTCAGTACGTTCGGCCCTTCGGCTTGTAACCGCTATATTCAAGGAGACAGTCATTTAATCCATCCCCGTTGTTTTAGTGAGTTCATTTGCTTTCCACCCATTCGAAACCCCAGGTACGTGTTGGGCCTGCGGGTTGAAGGGAATAAACTTCAACACTAACTATTTTAATGTGAAATGAAAATAACATGAACTCACTTTTTTACAAGAAATTCAGTCATTTAAGATATCGAAAACTAATAGCAAACCATCGAATAAATGATATTCGGAAGTACAGTCACTTATTTGATATTTTTTAATTAGTTTTTGGTGAATTAAATGACTAAATTTTTGGTGAAAAAATTGTTCTATATCACTTTTGGTCTATATTTAAATACGGAGTAGTTGGTATTATTACAAGTTATTTTCAAAGCACGTATTATTCTTAGTTCATCGAAGATAGTTTGTATTATTTAAAGTTATTTTCCCATAATATAATGAAAGTCAAAATTTAGGGAGAGAAAAGCAAAAATGAAACATGAGACTGTTTTGAGCAGATTTGTGAAATGTAGAATTATTTATGTAAGTTTTCCCAAAAAATGCAAAAAAACGTGTATTGTAGGTCACCAACCGATCAAAGTCTAATAAAAGAAGATGAGGTACAAAAGTGAAATTATTCTGGGAATACATAAAGGTAGAATTATTATGAGCATATCGGTCAAAAATTGGATTATTCTTGTCAAATTTTCCTTTTTTTAATATTAGGACCGGAAAAATGATATAGTTAAATATATGTATATTATAAACATTTGTTTCAATGTAAACAATGAAAATTTGATCCTAATTGACCTATTACTTTTTGTAAATAGTGAATATGTTTTTTTAATATTAGGGCTATAAAAATGATCTAGTTGAAAAAATCATTTTTTTTATCATTAGCAAGAGTTTATTTCGTAGTGTAACTTGCGTACATTAAGATGTAACTCATGCATAAACAAATATAACTCGCGCATAAGAAGATGTAACTTCATATAATATTATATGTAAACAATGAAAACAAGGAGTTTAATATTTTTCTATTAATTTACGTAAATAGTGAATATTTTTTGTTTTAAATATTAGGGTTATAGAAATGTTTAATTTTTTGTGCCAAACACCTTTTTTTACCAAAAAAAAAAGATTTTTTTTTGTTTCAAACTTTCAATAGTATGGGTTTATTTTGTGATGCAACTCGTGTTATGGAAAATATAACTCGCGTTGATGAAAATTTTAACTTAGGTATGCATAATGTAATATGTTGACTGTTGATGCAAATCCAAATGTAACTCGCACATAGAAATATATAACTCACGCATAACAGATATAACTCGTGCACAAGAAGATGTAACCCCATATACTATCACATGTAACTGCAGAAATTGTCTATAAACATAACTCACACATATGAAAAATGTAATCTCATATTTTATCATATTTAAATTCAAATAAATAATGTCTTAAATAAACTACAAACATATAAAAGAGATAAAAAATATTATATAAAAAAGTGCATGAAGATGAAAAATATTTTACAAAAAAGTGTATAAATCTAAAAAACATTACACCAAAAATAAATTTGGTAGTACTTATTTTATGTGGATTAAGAAAATTTAGTAATAATGTGGTAAAGAAAAAAGTTAATCCAATAATAACTTGATTAATTAAAGATAAATTTAAGTAAAATCACAATTAGTTTTTAGTATTTTGATGGAGAGGTGAAAGTAATTGAAGAAAACAAAAAAAGGAAAATAAAAAGAGGAAATAGTGTTCAAAACAAATCTAGAGGGCATGAGGGAAAAGAAAAGAAACACGCCTAGTGCTTCAAAAAGGAAAAAATGGCATCTTATGTGGTACCGGCATACCATGCGCATGATATACAGGTACCACGGCATAATTTGCGATTTAACACATTTTAAAATTTACATTTATTCTCTATTAATAGACGAGTACCGGAATGACCATGAAAACAATATTCTTGAGCTCGTGAGTCATGGATATATTGTACTCGTACCATTTAAAACATACTACCTTTGTCTCAAATTGATTTGCAAAATTTATATTTTCTTAATCAAACAATTTCATTTTATTCACTTATTAATTTAGGATGTCAATTTTTAATTATATTCTAATTTAGAGTTTACAACTTTGAAGAAATTTTAATTTAGTTTCCAAATATATGAAATTTAATGATTAAAAATTGAATTATTTATGAATAGCGAGCATTGACTTTTATTATTAGTTGACAAAAAAATGTCGACTTTGCATAATTGGACTGATCTAGTTTAGTCTGATCTGGTCTCGTTTGGTCTACATTGATCTGGTTTGGTCTGATAAATGTCTAGTTTCTATATATTTTATAATTGGACTGTCTGATCTAATCTGATCTGAACTGATCTAGAGCCCGTTTGGTAGCACGAAAATCGATTGATTTGGCTGATTCTGCTGAAATTTATGAAGTTCTGGCTGAAGTGGCTGCATTGGCTGATTCTGCTGATTTAAGATTTTTTTTAAAATATATTTCATTAATAAAATAAAGAAAAAATTATATGTAAAAATAGCTAAAATGGTCATCTACAGTAACTTTAACCAATACAGCCACAACAGTAACTTCAACCTTACTTTTTCGGCTTATTACACAATTCAGCGCGTGAAAACAAATGTTACGTGTTTGGTGAAAAAGTTGCCAAACAGTGTTTGCTTATTACTTTTTCTGATAAGCCGAAAAACAGTGTTGCCAAACGGCCTCCTAATCTGGTCGGGTTCGAAAATAATGCAAATAAAAACATTTTTATTCTCTTTGATGTCTCTTAAAATCTGAGTAATACGGAGTATTTGATTCGAGGAAGCAGGAAAGAAAATGGGATTCCCGGCTAACCCGTTATCTCTTAGCGTACCCGAACCCGAATTCGAGAACTGGCTTCGAGACAGTGGCTATCTTGAAGTTCTCGACCAACGAACCTCCGACCTCCACCGCCTGTCCTCCACCGCTTCCACCGCCACGACACCCTCTTCGTCTGAAACCGCTTCGACTACAACCCCTTGCCCAATCGGCAGCGGATTTTTTTTACCATTCTTTTCATTCGTCAGAACTCTGCTCTCTCTACTCACACTCAATCCCTTCTCCAAGCTCACCTCCGACGACTTTTCCGGAGAGACCCCTTGCTGGACGATTAATTTCTTCGGGTCGTGTGAGTCCTATTCGTTTCCCTCGTCGCCAGCCCAGGCTCGCCTCAGGGTCCACGAGAATGTCAAGCGTTATGCCCGCAATTATGCTTCACTCTTCGTTGTATTCTTCGCTTGCTCTCTGTATGCACTATTGCTCTCTCTCTCTCGAATAACTTAGCAAAACGTATCTCGTATCTGCATTTCTGATTAATTTTACTATTTATGGGATCCTCATTGTTTTAATTCGCAACTGCTAATCACAAAGTTGAGAAATGAGATGCTGTACAAATTTGATGAGGAAACGGATTTAGTATTTTTTTCGAAAAACTTATACGTAGTATATTTCTTGCATATTTGAAGTACTAGCGTTGGTGGGTCAAACTAATTATGTATTCTAATTTTCGTCATTTTGGGGTTTTCTGGACTTCTTTCGTCAGGTACCAAATGCCTCTTGCCCTTGTTGGTTTGCTATCGTGCATAGCCCTCTGGGATTTGTTTAAGTACTTTGGTGATAAGCATGGATTAGAACAGCACCCAATAATTAAGCCGATCTTGATTGGGATTGCCCAATGTAGTGAGTTCATCCTACAGAAATTCTTATTTTTGCATTATAACTGAATGAGCTTTATAATCCAATGTGTTGTGCCAAGGAAGACACTTCTTGCTTGGGTCAACTGTGGTGCCAAGGCATTCTTTAGTTTTTCATTTGAATGTGAATTTATCACTGGTGCCAAGGGATCCATGGGTTAGAGCTATCTATCAATCCAGTGAAACAAGGAAAATGAAAATATCTTGATGTAAATTACCACGTGTCATAAGTTATTTCGGATGTGCCTGTGGGTTCAGTCAGCTAGGACCCTAAAGGTTCTTATCTCTTCTACCAGCAGTATAAAGAATAGATGGTGTGGTATTGGTTACCTCTTTTTCCTCTTTTGAAGGCCAGAATATTCATACATATGTTTACATTGCTCAGTGTTTTTTTGATAGGAAAAAATACTGAGTAAGAAGCAATGCTTTGTTTCCCTCAACGTTTTCTCTCATGCCAAAATTCTTCTATACCCTCCATTTTTCCTCTTCCCTTTTTCACATAGCTAGTTTGTTCTCCATCTTTCAGAATGTTTATTATTATGCATTGCCATTTACTAGTCATGCTAAGAAAAATACTACTATGTATGTACGTAGTATTTCTCAAAGCAACCCCAAATCACAACACTGATGGAGTTACGCTGTTGCAGCAAGTGTGGTTATTTTACTCTTCGCCAATGTCCAAATTGCTCTCTTGTGTGCTCTTGGTGTTGGTTATGCAGGTGATACTATTTTGTCTATATTTATTTATTCATCGTTAAACCATTAAGGTTGTGACAGCTACTTATAGCCATTCATTCTTTTTCTGTACCCTCTTTGTTTGAACCTTGCAGTCTTGATTTTGCACGCTTCCTTCAGGAAGCTGACCCCTTCAAAGCGGCCAACTCAAAGGGATGGAACTAAAAGATCATTTTAAATTGATTTCTGATCAGCAATTGTAGCAATGCTAGTAGAAGAAAAGGATCATCTGTAGTAGGATCTTGAAGCTTACCATCAATTCCAGGACGGTAAAGCAAATTTGTTGTACTACTAACAATCTGGCGTAATAAATAACTGTTACTAAGTAATTTCTATTTTGGGGAATTGTGATTTCCAGTGAACGAACCATTCCTCTTTTATGCAAAAATTTAGTTCTACTGCGTATTGAAATTCAAAAGTAGAAGCTATCTTTGTTGAAGTCACCCTTATTGCAGCTTCTTGGACGATGAATGAATATCATCACATTTCAATCATTATCTTAAAGTTGCATGAATCATACTTGATCTAAACATGTATGAAATGTAAGAACACATATCACAATTCAATTAACAAAAACAAGGTATATGGTTCAAGACTTCAAGTGTCCAACCTTTAGCTATTGTTGTAATGTTGTGTAGAATTTCAGTTTTTTATGGTTCTATTGAATAATTTATCATACTTCTATGAACGTACAGACGTACTACACTGTTGATATTAGTGTGAAGTAAATTAAGGACATCCCTATTATTGTAAATTAGAACTAATCAAACTGATTTGTTCTGATGGATTATAATATTGTCCAAAGGGAAAATGTTATTTCTCTTCCCGAAGGCCTAGCAATCTAGCATAAACCAAATTGTTGTACGAAAGACCAAATTACTACTTCCTTCCCAATTTTTTTTGCCATTTTTAAAACTTTGACCAATTATATCTTTTTATCAGAAATTGTTTATAATGTAAAATGATATGAAAATGTTTTTTGTTAAAAGCATTTTGATACAATAAAAGTACATAATTTATAACTTTCATTTATTATACTAATCAAAATGATTATACTAAATTACTAATCAAAATGATGATCCAAATTTTATGAAATGACAAAGTTTTTTGAGACGGAGGTATGATGTTCTTACTTGGATTGAAATTTTCTGGTTTGGTCTGAATTGGTATGGTAAATGTCTGATCTATGTGTATTTTGTAACTATTCAAGTCTGGTCTGGAACTAAAAACAGTCCAAGTATAATACTGCATATATAGGTGAGTGTTTTTATGGGCAAATGTTGAGATTGAGTAATGATTTCACTCGTTAGAACACACAAATCAGAATGACATTTTTACTATAAACAAAGCATCCAAATATCGAACATTATCCATTACATCATTACTAATAGGGTAACATAATCTCCTTGAAGTGAAAGTTAAGCCCTGATTGAGCAACTCTCACTAACTGCACTAAAACGATTGCAGCTTTTCTAAGTAAGCACTAAACTATGATAAATTAATATAAAACTAAACGTCCGAACTAAAAGCACTGCCTTTGAAACATACTATCAACTTATGATGTCTGGCTTGGTGTGATATCACTATCCTTTGACTTGCAACGGAAAATCTTGGGTCTGAACCCTTTCTCAAGCAACTTCTCGACCTCCTCAAATGGCAACCCTTTGGTTTCGGGTACGAGCAAGAAGATGGCAGTAAGGCCAATGAGCGCAAAACCAGCAAACAATAGGAAGGTGGCCCAAGGGCCGAGAGCCTGGGTCAAGGTTAAGAATGTCTGGCTGACAATCAAATTTGACACCCAATTAGAAACTGCAGCAATTCCTCCTCCTATGCCTCTGTACCTCAAGGGGTAAATCTCGGAGTTAACAATCCAAGGAACAGTCCCTATGCCTGGTGCATAGGATAAGATGTATGCTCCTAGTACTAAAACTGCAAAGAACCCAAATTTGCTTGGGCAACCTTGGGTGTACCATGCCCGCCTTTCGGATTTGCACATTCCTTCCACTATATTTGTCGCAGATAAGCATGCCCCCGGATTATACTGTTTGGTCAATGGTAAACAAAGTTGTAAACATTTACATGACACTAGGGAAAATTGCATCCCTATATTGACCCCCACATTTTGCTTCAAAAAATGTGACTAGAAAAAAACATATGACTTAAAAATAAGTCATTCCATCCACCTCTGGCATCTTGTCGATTCACCAATCACCACTGCTGCCGACTATTGATCACTTGTGAGTGAAAAGGCAGAAGTGGTCAATGACCGGAAGTCCATGATCAGAGAGCCAGCAGCACTGGCCAGAGATGAGTGGTAAATGGACATGGGCAGAGTTAGCAGCATGAAGTCTTGGGTTCGATAATTAAAAAATAATGAGGATATAAGGATTATCCTGGTAAAAGCTCACAATTTTTTAAAATAAGAGTGGTAGCTAAAAAAGTTTTTTTTTTGTATTATTTGGGTGAAATCATTCTATGAATTTCAGAAGTGAGGAACAGTCTTAGAAATGCTGTCTTTCAGCATTTGAATGTTTAAGAGCAACTTTTAGATTTTAAATGTTTAATGTTAAATAGAAGCACCAACTTAGAAATGCTGTCTTTCAGCTTCTTTTTAAGTAAAAAACACAAAAGTGCTTCCCAAGAGCAATTGCAAACACTGCCTAAAAAGACATATATGGTCCTCTTTAGATAAATTATCAATGTTTAAACCCTATATGAAGATAAGTTTATAGCTCCATGGATCAATAGAATGATTGAGTAAGTAGACTTACTTTGCCGGCAGAATTACTGCAGAAAGAACACTCAGGTGCATGTAAACATGATTCACAACTCCAAGAAGCCAGGTTTGGAGCTTTTAAGAAACTCGGGCATGTCGAATTTACTCCAAAGTGATTTGATTCGTAGACACTGACTGCTGGAGAATGGATGCTGGCTTGTTTAAACAAGACCGAGAGTACAACCAGAGATATTATGGTACCTAACATTGAGATGATCATCAACCTCCTCCTCCCATACCTGTCAACAAAGCACATACTAACAATAGATCCAAAGGCATTGAGACCAGATGTGATGAGGGAGAGCGTTAGAGCGGTCCTATTTGAGGCAAAACCAGCTAGTTGCACAATTGTCGGGCTGTAATACATGACTGTATTGATTCCAACAAATTGCTGAGCCACTTGAACTGTTATTCCCGCATATAGTCCCCTGCGAACGACAGTGTTCCCCCAAGCACTCCTTAATTTGGCAATTATGTTATCTCCTATGGCTTTTGCTTCTGCCTTCTCGTGCGCAACAGATTCATGCAAAGCCATCAGTTCTTGTTCTACTTCGTTAGCAGGATAGATCTTCTCCAGAATCGTCCGGGCTTCTTCTACTTTGTCCTGATTAATTTATTAATCAACATTACCACGTATTAACTGGCTCAAACTCATTTCAAAATGACTCTAAGGAAGTGAGACCCTTATATATTAGACTAAAACGAACCTAGTAAATATCAAAAGATTGAGAAGTTTAACACCCCTGTACAGTTAAGGGACAATAGGCCAAACCTACTCATACGTGTTTCCAAATATACAAAGTCACCATTTAATAGGGTTCAAATATCATACGTAGTATTAAATTTGGTCTAACTTGCCTAATAGGACCAATAATGCTTATCTCACAGGCTCACACAATAAACATGCAATGTGGGACACATTAAAATCAGATGAACTGAAACTACCTGCCCATAAAGCCATCTAGGTGATTCAGGGAGAAAAATCATTAATATAAACTGAACAAAAGCAGGAACTGCTGCTACCCCGAGCATCCAACGCCATGTGCCTGGAACCTGGGGATCAGAAGCCATGAGAAGACAATATTAATATATATTTTTCACCGCTAACAATTGAAATGTTTGCTAAAATTTGGAGAAAAACCGAATATCAGATTAGAGATTAATTTCATTTCAAGTACCCTGGTGAATGCTAAGTTGATAAGATAGGACAGAAACTGTCCACCAGTGATTAGCAGGCCATTAGCACTGACTAGCGCGCCTCTAATTTTAGCGGGAGAGGCCTCGGAGATGTAAAGCGGTGCGGTCATGGAAGCCATTCCAACTCCTAGACCGACCAACACTCTTGCCACAATTATAAGCCATGGAGTTGGGGAAAGAGCCATCATTAGTGCTCCAATAAAGAACAACACATCAGCTACCATAATTGCCACTTTTCGTCCAAACTTGTCGTTCATCCATCCCCCAAATCCAGCACCCACAACAGCACCTGCCACTGCCATACTCACAATCATTTCCTATACATTGTTATAGAAAGAAAAGGGTCAACACTAGCCTTGGTTGATTGACTGGGAAATCCAGAAAACACATGAATCAAATCAAATATTCACTTGCCTGTAGCCATGTGTGCTTCTGAACGGCTCTAAAGTCATCCCGAATGTATAGCAAAGCACCCGAAATAACACCTTTTGTTGGCAAAACAAACAGGCATAACCAAAAGGATTCAAAAATTAGAACTGCTCTAATTAAGAAAAGACATAAATTATTCTAATGACATTTAATAACCCTAAACAAACAAGAAGATTTCTTTTTCGAGCATTGTGAATCAGCCTAAAACATCTGTAGAATTGTGTTATGATTTCGTCACATTCATTAAATTTTCTCAGTATTGTTGTAATTAATTAATTACCAGTATCATAACCGAAGAGAAAGCCACCAATGCCAGCAGACAGGGCAAGCCGCATAATGTACGGCGTTCTCCATAAAGAACTCAAACATTCTGAGAATTCTGCTTTGTCTGCTTTATGCGGACCACCCTCCATTCCAGTCGAGAGACAAACAAGCACACACTACATAGGAAGAAGAAGAAGAAGAGGACGATCATAAAAATCATTGCTTTTGTCAGTCATACAGAAGCTCTGCATAATTCTGAATTCTTGGTTCTAAAATTTCCCAAGAAAAAAACCCTTATCCACACACAAAAAAAAAGTAACATATTTGTCGGAATTGATCCTACAATTGAATTTAATCACAGAACTCATCATACATTGATGTAAAACAGAGCTCTCTATACATGCAAAACAAGAATAATCAAGAAGAACGAAAGAAAGGAGATTAATCCAAACGGGACGTAAATATGAATTAGTTGATCGTTAATACCTATGCAATCGGCTTAACTTTACTCGTGAAGGAGTTCTATGGGAAGATAAAACAAGGTCTGAGCGTTTGTTTATATAGAGACACCAAAATGCGCACGTAAATATATGCTGCAAATCCTATCCAGTAGCTCACTGTGGGAATCCTAGTAAAAGTAAAACACTGGGTTATCCAATAATCCAGTCTTACATTAAAATTAGTTCAGGATTCTTCGAAGTGTTACGTCAGAGACTGAAAAGCCGGATCAGTCGGCACGACCAACAACTGACTGGTCAAACTGGACCGACCAATGGATAGTTTGTTGAAGAGATTTGTTTTTGTTGGCTAAAGAGTCAAATAGTCCATCGAACTAACTTAAAAAATGTAAATCATCTTATATATGAGACTTTGTCCGGCAGTCGACATTTGAAGCGGTTCCCGGTAGAATTTTTTGATGAAAGTTTTTGAGCATCTTTTTCATTAAGTCTATTTACACATACCAAATTTCAGATAAAAATTCAACCGGGAAAACAGTCAAATGATTTTCTGAAATGTACTTCGCTGTTTAACTGCGCACTTAACTTCAAAAATTCATTTGACTGCCTTCTCGATTGAATTTTTAGCTGAAATTTGGTATGTGTAAACTAGACTGAAGAAGATCTAAAAATAGATTCATCAAAAAATTCCATCGGTCCGCCACTGCTCAGTCCCCTTCAAAGTTTGAGGTATTTTAATTATTTTTTCCCTTATTTGGACTATAATTTTTGGTCTAGTATGGTATTATATGTTCTTGTTTGGCATATTCTAGTTTTATAGATGTCTGGTGTATGTGTATTTTATAACTCTCAAAATCTAGTTTGAGTTGATCTATTTAAGTCTAATGTGACCTGGTATATTTAAGGCTGATTTGTTATGGTCTGGAGCAGAAACCAATTACGGTAAAAACACCCTTTATCCTTAGCTTTTATTATTATACATAATTCTTTTCATTTTTTGCGAATAATTATGATTTGAAAAATCAAACATTTCGGTGTAAAAAAAATATGGAGTTTAATTTTGTTGTTTTTACTAACTTATTTTTGAAAAAGATTTACTTAAAGATGTAAAACAATTTTTGTACAATGAGATCTTAGTTTTAGCACTTGAATATACTAAAGAACAAAAAATTGGTTCTTTTTTAGCCTAAGACCTCCAGCACCTGAAACTTCATGTTTCTTTTCAAACTTTATATACGCAATTTTGATCTCATATAAAGCTATAAAAAGTTATGAATGATGGTATATTGTTTTATAAAAATTGAAGTACAAATAAAAAATAACACTTTAAAGAAAAGAAGGATTTTTCTCGTGCCCCTCATCTGTGCATTCTCTTTTGTGCACATCATCCTCTTTTCTTCTATTCATGCTTTCAGCTAAGGAACGACAAATGGGTAAATGTAGGGGTGGGAAAAACCGAACCGAAACCCAGAAACCGGCCCTGACTCGACCCAAATTATGATATCGGTCTGGGTTTTTTCTTTTTGATCGGCCCGAATAAAAAAAAAACCGGTCCGAACCCGAAATTTTGGGTTCATTAACGGGCCCTAAAATCTATAACCCGGCCCGGACCGATAAAAACCCGAAACAATTAGCTTTAATATAAAATCAATATAATATACCAATATAATTCATAATATATGATTATAATCATGATGGACGAAAAAATGACTTAATAACTTTTAGTGACTACAAGTATGTTCAATTTATTTACCGTAATGACCATGAAAACATATTTATAGTAACTTTAATCACGTTTTTATCCATAAATTTATTTCATAACATTTTTAGAAACCTATATTATTTGTTTTCATGCATCTTAAACAAAATATTATGATAATTGCCTTCATTGGATTCGAATTCTTGGTGATTTTGGAGACTAATATTTGTGCTTCTTATTAATTTTATTTGCGGTTTGTACTTTTTATTAATTTTATTTGAAAATAGATTTTAAAATATAAAAGAAAAATGAGTGATTTCACATTCGGGCTTTAACCGGCCCAACCTGAACCCGGACTACAAAAAACCTGACTCGGACCGAATATAGTGGGCTTTGTTTCGGTCCCTAATTTTCATAACCCGATACCTTACGGGTAATTTCCGAGTTTAGCAAAAACCCGACCCAGACTGGACCGATCTCACCCCTAGGTAAATGAAACATGTGTCAGGCAGGGTAGTACATGTTCTGGCGTGTTAGGGTCGGGTGCTATCTTTAGAAAACTCAAAGGGGCGGAGCGGGCAGGTCTTAAGAAACTTAGGGACCGAACGGGTCTTAAAATTTTATAAAACGGGTATCGGGACCAATTCAGTTTAAAATATGATTTAAACTCTACTGTATTTAATAAACTAACAACACACGTAAGCTAAAAAATCCATTTTATCGATGGAAACCTAAACACGACGCAGCCACCGTGCTACATCCCCAAATTTCTCTAAGATTGACTCTACTACAACGCATTTATGAAGGAAGTGCCTAGCTTTTGTCTAAGGTTAGGTTTGGGTGAATGGCGGCTCAAATTTGGAAGCTAGTTTCAAAGATGTTTATCATACCTTTTATTGATGATTGCAGCGAGGTGTTTACGGTAATATGAGCATTCTTAGTTGGAACTGCAATGGTCTAGGCAACTTGGCGACACTGCAAGTCCTAATGGATTTGGTCAAATCGTGACAGGTTGGATGTGACTTCAGCACTTTCCGAGCACTTTAAGGATATCCGGCCGGGTATCATTAAAATATTTTATATATCCGGTCGGGTATCAGACTCAACCATATCAAAATACCTATAAATACATCTATCTTTCCTTCTCATTTAATCACCAATTCTATATAATCTTAAGCTCGGTCTAGATAAGTGTTTTCTTTATATTTTCTATCATGTTTATTCTTCAAATGAGAAGCTAAACTTTTCCATCTTGATTTTGCTACGTTGAAGCTTATGATTTGTACGTTGTGAGTTTATTTTCTTTAATCATCTTCCTTGAATATTAATTACATTCCTATTTTATATCTCATATTAATATTTGAGCATTACTTAAAGGATCAACTAGTTTTATTTCATATATTAATTATTACTAGAATCGATCGATGAATACACTTGCTAATCGTTTGGTCCTTTCAACGGTTGTAAACTTGAATTATTAATGCATACGTCTCATGGTTAATAGCGGAATTACTCTGGATGGTAAGGAGATACCAGTCAGCGATATGTTCCGTTACTTGGGCACCATAATTTAGAATGACGGTGAGTTAGATGGAGATGTATCCCATAGAATCAGAACATGGTGGATGAAGTGGAAGAGTGCGTCAGGATTTCTATGCGACCGAGGTATGCCGACTAGACTGAAGGGTAAATTTTATAGGACAGCAATTAGGCCTGCATTACTGTATGGCGTAGAGTGTTGGGCGGTGAAACAATGTCACATTCAAAAGATGAGTGTGGCAGAGATGCGCATGCTGTGTTGGATGTGTGGGCATACTAGGAAGGACCACGTGAGGAATGAGACAATCAGATAAAGGGTGGGAGTAGCACCTATTGAAGACAAGATGCGGGAGTCGCGCCTACGGTACGGTGGTTTGGTCATGTGCGTAGAAGACCGAGTGATGCACCTGTTAGGCGAGTTGAGATGTGTGGAGAAGAGGCATGGAAGAGAGGGAGAGGAAGACCCAAACAGACGTGGGTTAGGGGAGTTCAAAGTGATATGCTTCTTCTGGGGTTGGATGAGGGCATGACTTTGGAGAGAACTAAGTGGAGGGCGGGTATTCACGTGAAAGAGTGATCTTGATTGTCACGCCCCGGGCCTAGCCGGACACGTCAACAACCCGCCGTACAGTACGAATAGTCAACCGCAGTCCGACTCATCCATACTATACAAGGCGTCATGAATATCATTCACACATAGTACATCCATAAACAAGCATAATGTAAATCATTCATTTAAAACAGCGGAAGCATAAATACAATTGTTCAAGCCACACTTGGCATAACTCGGCATACAAGCCCTCAAAGTAATTATTCAAAAATAATATCCATGAGCATTAACGTAGTTGTTTTTAAAACAGAACGGAAGAAGCACGAACCACGTCTTCTCCCCTTGATCCTCCCGAAGCCACGGGCGATGGTAGCAACCTTCAAGTTCTACCTGAAACTGTGAGGTGGCCTCCCCCGTGAAGGGGAGGTCAGTACTTGGAAATTTTTGACAAGTACAATAACAACTATACTAAGTATAATCAACGTTTTAATATCCAAGGCCCTCAACTTAGGGTACTATTATATTATAGGCCATAACCCTCGGTTACCCCTTTTACTTTTAACTGTACTTACTTTATATAAAGTCAAGTAGTCGGCCCGTAGGCCCATATTCATTTAGAATTCATCGTTTCCATTCCCCCGTGACCGCAAGTCACGATAACCCCGTGGGGTCCCATCAAGCCCCAATTGTATAGCATGGGCTCGGCCCAACTACATCTCTATACAATCCTCTAGCTCAATATATCATATCAAAATTTGTATGGCAAGGGCTCGGCCCAACTACGTTTTCATACCAACCATAACTTCGTGGCAAGGGCTCGGCCCAACTACGTTTCCACGGAGGTCACATATACATGGCAAGGGCTCGGCCCAACTACGTTTCCATGCTAATCATATTACATGGCATGGGCTCGGCCCAACTACATCTCCATGTCATCCTAGAGTCCAACTCTAATTATTTTCATAATCAAATTCTCAAGCAAATCTTATGCCTAGAATCAATTCCCGTATGTGGCCTTTAGGCCTACCCCTATCACACCTTACTATTCATACCATTCATCCTTAAGTATCTCTTGAGACTACTTAAGGCATATCTATTCACAATCCTACCTCTTAGGATTTGTTTCATCATTTATTTATATTAATTCCCCGACTAGTATTTTGATACTAATTGGATAATCTTAGAACATGCCAAGTTCCTATTTTCCAATTGGCATTTCATTTCCATTGATTTCTCAACCCAAGTATAGTTTGATCTCAATATCAAAAATATCACTTTAATCCATTCATGAATTTCATACATGAAGTAAAGTATATTTTATCACAATGTCATCATAGTAATTCCATTAACATGTCATTCCATTCATTTCACATAATCATACACAATTATTCTAAATTTGTATATCATGCTTCACTTACTCATATCCATATTAGTTTCATTTAGGCATTATTAATCATTAATAATCCATGAAAATCCCATCTAATTACTTTAGGCATTCTTATGAAATTAACTCAC